TTTAATATTTTGTCTAATAAAAAATTAAATATATTAATTAATATTTTTTAATTAAAATAAAATTATAAAATTATTTACTTATAATTTTCTCGTTCATTATGTGCCCATTTTATATATTTATTCCATTCTAAAACTTTTGTTTCTTTTTCTTCAACTGACCAATAATTAGCATTAAATCTTATATCTTTATATTTTAAACATAAATCACTACGTGGTGTTAATTTTTTAATATGTGGTAAAAATTTTTTCCAAATTGAGCAAAATGTTGTTATTCCAACTTCAAATTGATTATTAGTTTTAATTGCTTCCAAATATTGTATATGTAAAGAAGAATAAGTAATATTAGCTAGTAAATATATAATTGTAGTAGTATTATCACGAAAACTTCGTCCTATAAAAATTTATATAATTAATAAATAAAATAAATATAATTTTATTAAATTTAATAATTACCTGGAGATGGTAAACCATTTTGTTTAGCATAATTATTTATAAAAGTAATAATTTTTATAACAGTTTCAAAAGATATTGCTCTATTTCCAACTTTTCCAGTTTTTGAATTAATACGTAAAGTAATATCATGTTCAATAAAATGTTCTCGTAATGCTTTCCATCTTGTATCACCAATTCCATAAATTGTTTTAAAAGCATTTAAACAAATAGCTTTTTCTTCAAAATTATATTCTGTAGTAAGCTTAGATTTTTTTGAATTATTTTTAGCTATTTCAGGTCATTTAGTAGCTGCAATAATACTTAATAAAAACATATCTTGAAAAGATTTAGAAAGATTTCTAAAATTTATATATCTAGATAAAGCTACTGAATATTCACATTTAGTTTGTAAACAATTTTTTTCACAACAATCTTTTTCAAATAATTCTTTAAAATCATTATCTTGTATTAAATTTATCTCTTCTTCTAATTTTTGATTATCATTTTCTTGCTTTTCAAAACTATCTATTGTTTTTTGATATAATATTTTAAATTTTAAAAGTTCTGCTTCAGTCCATACCTCATTTTCTAAAGAATCAGTTTCTAAATTTTCATTAATTTCAGGTGTTTCAGATAATAATAAATTATTATTTTCTGAAGTTAAAAATTGAAATTGCAAACTTGAAAGATCAGTTTGTAATTGGATATTTTCTGTATGAGTATCCTCAAAAATACTTTTATTTAAAGAAAAGGTAGATATTTTTGTAAAATAAAATTTAAAATTTTTAATTTAAAATTTTATTTTATAATTATTACTTTGATTAAATAACTTATATATATTATATTTTTTTTATTTTACAATTATATAAAATTATATTGTTATTATGTATGCAGATTTTGATAATACAATTTTAATACAATAGTTACAAATAAAAAATTATTATATAAAATATGCATTATCAAGAGTATTATTTTAGAATAGCATGAGATGTTATTTTAGAACGCGCAAAGAACATCATTTAGAACGCGTATGTGCATTATTTTAGGATATGCATAGGGCATTATATATGGGGCGTTATTTCAGAACACGTATAAGGCAAAAACATTTATTAGGCAGCTAACAATGCTATTTTATAGATATTATTTCAAGATGCGTATAAAATAGCCAACTATGCTATTTTATGGGGTGTTATTTCAGGTGTTATTTCAAAATGAAATATGGCATAATTTTTAATACACTATTTCAACATTTATGATACAAATTTATATAAATCACAAATAGTTAAATACGACCAGGGTAGCCACCAATTTTACGGGTCATGTGTGTGGTGCAGGGTCAAAATTTCATAGCGATAGCACTATAGATGATACTGATTCGTTTGCAATAATGCTATAGCCCACCTGACCCATAAAATCAGGGGCCACCCTAGTCGTATCCAAATAGTTATAACTAGAGTGCGAATGCAAATTTTTTTGGCTTTGTATTACATAATGCAACATAATGTAGCATGTATGCATTATGCAATCCTGTATCTTGACGGAGAATTTTTCTACTAGTTCTGATTTGGTATGTGTAAATACTATCGCCGATTGAACAAGATGTACTGGCACTTGTTTAGTAAACTTCACAGCTTCTGTACGCAGTAAAAAGACCTCATATTTGATTAGGCTCTGTGGCTATGATAGCAATGCAAGAACCTCATGATT